CTGTCTATGCTGATGGCTACGAGGTTGAATATGGACGAGGTGGAGCAGACGACATCCATTGCGATGTACAGGTCACAGACGATGGGGCCAAGCTCCCAGCGACCGCACATCAACTGTCGGAGACAAATGCGCCTATTTTAGCAAAGGGAGGTAAAACCGGGAAATATAATATGGGAAAATATGTCACCTAATTGGGTCATACCTGGATGATTTTTTTTCGAATTGACATTATATTAATTAAAAATACAGCTATTTCCTCCGTAGCCCCATCAATCCCTCAGCCCCCCGTGTGTCACTGTAAACAACTTTCGTGTGCCATTAGCTTGTCTATGTTTGTCACTTCAAGCCGAGAACTTTTTTAGCTTTAAAAGATGATTGGAAAATTATATTTCGATATCATTATCACGTGATCACCAAAGTAAGACTGACAAAGAAAATTATGAACATAAAACCGAATAATTTGCAAGCATCTATTTTCTTTCACTATATTGCACAGTGACACGATGTGTAACTGTATTCAAACAGATATATTAAACATATATATACACTGTCCCGTAAATACAGCATATAACACGTTAAGATGTGTACACGACAGGAGATACGTTAAGATAGGGTTGTCCGACTTAATTTGTGGCACTGTATCCGAGGAAAAAATATTCAAAGACGTTATGGGTCCATAGAGCAATTCATAACCCACCAGACTGTAATCAACTAATGTCCATTGTTGCAATAATAATAAAAAAAAAAAAGCACACAGACAGTTAGCTAATCACCCCGCTGTAAGACTTCGTACACAAAATGATTAAAGTAATATTAGTCAGACAATCACGAGATCGCATGGTAAGCCAGTGTGCCTGAGGTGCAGTAGTTATAACCTTGATCTGGGGTTCTGAATGCCCTTTGTCTAATACTCGCACACGCACATTCATGTATATTGAGTTAACATATGTGCGTTTGTGTCTTTCAGTGTAAGATCCAGTAGATAGAGAGATAGACAATAAGTAAATTGATAGGTAGGTAGAAAGAGAAATAGATAGATGGATATATATATATATATATATATATATATATATATATATATATATATATAGTATATATATATATATATATATATATATATATATATATATATATATCTGAGCAGGTATAGATAAATCAATATATAAACATACAGTAGTTAAATGGACAGAGGATAGATAATAGATAAGATATATATAGATTTGATAGGTCTTTAAACACATAAAGACAAATCAAGTTGCAGATTAGATAAATATATATAAAATATATAGATATATATAGACATATATTTATCTAGATGTAAAGATATTGTGAACAAAAAATATTATATATATATATATATACATATATATATATATATATATATATATATATATATATATATATATATATATATATATATATATATATATTATGTGTGTGTGTGTGTGTGTGTGTGTGTGTGTGTGTGTGTGTGTGTGTGTGTGTGTGTGTGTGTGTGTGTGTGTGTGTGTGTGTGTGTGAATGTGATCTACACTTGTGGTAAGAAATTTCTACAAAGGATGCTTACATCATTGTATATCATATCCGGCACAGAGCACGTTCTCGGTATCCAGCCTACGCCATTTACGGAGAAACTTAATCCTATATTACTTTACCTTAACGACTAGCTAAAAGATCCGACGATTAGTCCTCCGTTACCTTAGTGGGGACAAAAATTGAACAACATCGAGTGAGTTCCCAAGGCAGAGTAATATGAGGTCGACATGATTTCTTGTTAGGAACGAAAAAACGAAAGTACACACAACCTTAACGGGACAAGAATTGCAGGAAGAAATATAAAAGGAACAAAATGTATTTTATTTTCTCGACAGAGTGACACGTGCAAACTAGAACAATTTAAACTTTCTATGTCTGCGTCAACCCTTCGTATCCTCTCGGTATTAAGTCGCACACAAACCCATGTATTCTTAATTAAACGAGTAAATTTGTTACTGTAAAAAGGGATATCTGAAGCTGAATTGCCATATCATCTGCCAGTTTTCTTGGTATTTTCATCACAATTACAGCTTATCAATTGGAGTTTGGAAGTATTTTATTGCATTACCTTCGTTGGAAATATATATTTAAAAAAAAATATTTACACCTGATCTAAGGCTCCCTCTCTCTCTATATAATTATCTATCTTAATCTCTCTCCCTGCCTTTCTCTATATACATCTGTCTCCTTCTCTCTTCTGTTCAACTTATATTTTTAATACCTAAGCATATACATCAAACAGTTTTTACATTAAAAGTGTAATATCTTCGCGATATACAAAACCGAAAAAGCCTTAGACTTCAAGCCTATTATGAATAATGCAATATTCTTGCCGGGAAGTAAATTGCATAGATTTACCATGGCATGTCCAACGAGAGGGAGAAAAATGATAATTTCCTCAAACGCGAAATCTACTCCACTTTCCTACGTAGCACATTTGATCAATTTCCTGCTTGTCGATAACATCACGTAGGCCTAAAATAGAAGAAGCACGCCCGGGACGCGCCAAGCCTGCCTTTCTTAGGCCTCTAAGTTTCATTAAAGAATATTGAATTAGTTCCGGAAAACTTCGTAGATGAACGATGTTTGGCGAAAGAGAGACACGTGGCAGATCTCCTTTATCCATATTACAAGAACCAACCTTTCTCTCTTCGGAGTAATAGTTATTTTCACCTTTTTGGCGGAATGAGGAAAGTTAAAGCGAGGTCGGCGCCGTTAGTGATGATGGAATCGATCGCCTCTATTCAGCCATAACATGGACGAGATCCAACATCCTGAAGATATCACTTTATCAAGGACCATCCCCGGTTGGGCTTGGGGTTTCCAGTGTACAATGGTGGGAGGTTTTGACGTTTTCAGTTCGAGTGGTGTTTGTGTGTGTGTGTTTCTTTTTGTGTGTGTGTGTGTGTTTCTTTTTTTGTGTGAGTTTCTTTTGCGCGCGCTTGTGTGTGTGTGTCTTTCTTTTGTGTGTGTCTGTGTTTCTGTCTATGTGTTTGTGGGTGTGTTCCTGTTTGTACGTGTGTGTGCATCTGCGTTTGAGACTGCGTAAACGACTTATGAAAGGTGGAAGAAGCACGTAAGCACTGAAGGATCAGGAACGCACGATTACCCCGAGTTAATTTCATGGAGCGAGAGCCATCGTCCCAACAGAGACGTTTGGGACTAATTCGAACAGCAGCGCAAAGGGCGATCGCGTGGAACCTGGCTAGCCCCGCTGTCCCCTGTGGCGTCGGCGGCGGGGGACGGGTCTGCGCTGCTACTCCGGCTAGCATTGTGTTCCTTCCTCTCCCCTCCCCGAATCTACCATTCATTCTATCTGTATGTGTATATCTTTGCTTCTGTCTATATCTATATTCATATCTATTTATGTACCTTTTTTCGTCTAGCTATCCATTTACCTATCTATCCATTAAACTATCTACATATATATCTATATATCTGTATACAAGCACACACACATACACACACATAAGTGTGTGTGTGTAACATATACGCATACAGTGATACATACATACATACATATATATATATATATATAATATATATATATATATATATATATATATATATATATATATCATACATATACATACATACATACATACATACATACATACATACATACATACATACATACATACATACATGCATACATACATACATACATACATACATACATACATGCATACATAGAATCAAATATAGTTATATACATAAATACATAATATACAAATGCATATACAAAAAATATTAGCCATTAGATAATCAGCAATAACAATAAAAGCTTACTTCGCTTCCTTTTATGACTTTCTTTCTTACTTTTACAAAGTCCTTCACATCAGCCCAAATGAAATCACCGAATGGGAACCCCTGCGTGTAGAATATTTCCAATTGATCAGCCTTATACCCAAGGCCTTTGTACCCACAGTGCCAAATCCACCAAATCTGAGACTGTGATGAAAAAAACGGGTGCCGGGTAGACAGACCGGATCCAGCTGGGTACTGTTATCCGCATGATAGAGCAGTCTCCCTCGCAAACGCCTTTAGGGCATTGTTGCGCTCTTGGGAGTCTGTGGCCCTGAGACGATCGTCTTGGCGTAAGGAGACTGACAGGGAAATGAGAAGAGTATAAAAAAATGATCATCGTTGTTATTACCATTAGCATTTTCGTTTTCATTATAATCATTATAGCAAAATATCTATCTCATCATATCATTGTTATTGATATGATTATCACTGTTTTTAGAATAATTTATTATTATTATTATTGTCATTATTGTCATTATTATCATTATCTTTATCATATTATTATTATTATTATCATTATTATTATTATTATTATTATTATTATTATTATTATTATTATTATTATTATTATTATTATTATTATTATATTTTATTATTATTATTATTATTATTATTATTATTATTATATTATTATTATTATTATTATTATTTATTATTATTATTATTATTATTATTATTATTATTATTATTATTATTATTATTATTATTATTATTATCATTACTATTATTGATATTATGATTATCATAATTGTTGTCATTACTATTTTTTATTATTTATCTTTTTTTTGTCATTGCCATTAATATTATCACCAACATTATTATTGTTCATATTTTTATTACTGTTATGTTTTTTTATATTATTTTTAATAATACTATTATTATTATTCTCATTATTATTATTATTATTATTATTATTATTATTATTATTATTATTATTATTATTATTATTATTATTATTATTATTATTATTATTATTATCATTATTATTATTATCATATTATTAATCATCATTTTTATTATTTCTATTATTATGACTGTTAGTGTCATTATTGTTACTACGATTATTATCATTATTATTACAAGTAGTAGAGCAGTAGTAGTAATGGTGGTGGTATCATCATCAGTACCTATCATGATCATTATTATTATCATCATCATTATTATCAATATTGCTATCATCATCATCATTATTAGTAATAGTACCAGTTATAACAGTGCTAATAATACTATACTAGATACAGTATTAATAACCATAATCGAAGCATTATTCTTGTCATATTTCTTTTTTTATAATCTACATTTGCAATGTCACCGTTATTGTTATTAATTTTAGGAATATTGGGACTCGAGTACCTTATCATACACACCTTTTCAAGTATGAGCCAATCAAATAGTAGTGGTTAATTAAGGGCTAACCATAAGGGTCTAAATTTTAGGGACTACTAAAGACTTGTCTCCTGAAAAGGGAAGGTCGATCAAGGGGCGTGCAGTTGCGTTACACATCATGTTAAATTGTACTAATATCGATATCCATTGTGGCCCGTTCCTTGGTCGTGCCTCTCTTGGTGTGTAAGTGTGAGTAGTAAGAGAAAGGGATTAATGATCATCGTCACTCAGCTAAGTAGGGCTATATTTATAGCCTTCAGTCTGATCACTGATGAACACGCAAACCTCATAATTAAACCACATGGATTTTTTTTTTTTTTTTTTTTTTTTTTTTTTTTTTTTTTTTTACATTATTACTATTGTAATTTTTATTGTTATCCTAACGGTGGGCTTACCTGCCAATTATGCTTTAGTAATTTTAAGATCTCTTTCTCTCTCTCTCTCACACATATACTCTCTCTCTCTCTCTCTCTCTCTGTCTGTTTGTTCTTTCTCTTTATTTCTCCTCTTTTAGGTTTTCATCTCCTGTCCTTTCTTTCTCTTACGCTACATCATTCGACAATAGTATTAAACGTTACTTGCGAGAAAATGCACATGAAAAACGGCACAAAGAAATACTCCACTATTATACACCAGTACCTGCTACGGACAGACCTCATTAGCCCCAACAGCTGGTGGTAAGAAGACCCCCACACAAGTC